TGCAAATTGTCTAGTACTACTCAGTGCAACAGAATGTCACTGTACTGTATGTGTGTGCTGTATGTGTCTGGTTATTTGTCTTTTCAATGAATGACAATCACTGAAAGCTGCCTGTTTGCTATTTTCCTTCGGTTTTAATTTACATACCCATATAGTGCATGACATATGTGTGTACATTACGTGTATATGTCAGATTTATGTGGTGATTCATGTGACAGGGCCAAAAATGTTAATGTAATGTACTATTCAGGACTGATGGATGGCCATTATCACTGCCCCAACATGCTTTACACATCCACATCCTCTACTCCCACCTATTGTAATCTGGTTTGTGAGTGTGTGTGTTTGTGTGTGTGTATTCACATTTCTCCATGAGTGGCAATATGTTATTACAATACATATAAGATTTCAAAGGATGGGAAGTAAGCGGCTTTTCTTTACTCTGATTTGAAAATTGGATAGAGAACCCGGTTTGCATTTAAACATCTGAATGATATAAAGTGCTGTCAAAAAAATAAAAAATAAATGATAGCTTGTAATTAGCCTGCACCCGTTGTCAGCTCACTGAAAGAAATTTTTTAAATGAAAACAAGATAACTACATTTACATTGTACATCTGTTGGTAATGGATTCTATTTTCATATCTTATACATAGCAACAGTACATTGTAATGGAATTGTTCTCAGCCGTAACGTTCACATTAACACGTGTAACTTTATCACACAAATGCATGCTTGCGTGACATTATATTATTCTATAATTTCATGACAGCAATTTGGTCTACTTCGAGAGGCTGAGATCAATTTAAAACAAAATGTAAGCAAAGCAGTCACTACCTGCGATGCTGTGACTCAAATCATATAATTTATCTCATTCAGCTAATATTTCACTTTGAGCTATTGATGCCATGAAATGGGATTGGTGTGAGGGAGAGAGAGGGAATCAGTAGACAGCGGAAGTGAAAAAAAAGGGGCATGGGGCTTGCATCTGCATAACAAAGACAGTATCAAGTAACGTGGAGAAAATGAGGAGAATAAAAAACTGTAACGTGTCGCTATAAATATAGAGATAGTATGTACTGAGTATGAAGTAGAATCTTATGGGAGCAAGTCATTCACAAGACAAAGCTATTGTTCTTTTGACAAAAGACGCAGAGGATTTGATAAGCGAAATGAGCACTTTGGTGAGATGACATGCAGTAATACACATGTTTAATTAGAGGCACAGGGAGTCAAGTATTTTCTCCTGTGAGCTTGGCTTGTCTGGTTAGACGTGGAAGAATGAACAGCTCTGGGAAAAAGTGACTATCAAAATGTTAAATGAAATAAATTGGTGGACAACAAACTAAGATTTTTTTTAAATTGGTGCTAAATTCAATCATGGCTTCAGAGAGTAGCTTCTTTCTCTCTTTTTTCCTTTCCTTGCCTGCCCTCTCCAATAACTGCTGAACTGTGTACTGTATAGGTTGGTTTCATAAATGCTTTTTGCGCTTCGTTTCAGACGCACTCTGCATCTAGAGACACATGTGTTATTTATCCAAAGAGGCACATCAGCCTGGAAGTGCACTTTGCCTGTCATCTGCGTGTAATCAGTGAGGTGTGCCTCTAACTGCGGGGAACATGATAAGTGCAGCTGAGAATGCACTTTGCAATTAGCATGGAAATTTTTCTAGCTTCCAGAAGCAGGTGCAAATTGAACAGGTGTAATAAAATGAATGGTTGAGGTGGGGAAGAGAAATGCTGAAATCTCACAGCAGACAAACAGTAAGTGCAGCACAAAACAATATTTGCAAGGTTGCAGCACTGATGTACTTTCTTAGAATAACCACAATACGTGACCAATGTATAAAGCCAGACAATGGGTGGAAAGAGAGCTGTTGCTGAGTGGTCATTAAACGTCAAGTTGGTGTTCAGTGAGAGGAAATAGTGCCCTTTTGATAAGATATTTATTGAGTGCATTTGACTGCAGTTACCTTGAGACTATAGAGAAACTCCATCTTCTACAAATCTTTCTATAAAGCTTATTACCCCCATTACAATTTTATGAGAAGTCTAACAGACAAACAAATACATTTTCTTAGGCAGAGCTGAATTGTGGCCAAAGTAAATGTTTTCTAACCTTGTTACTGAGTTAATGAGTATTTCTTTTGCAGTATCACAGAAATCTAATGTATTTTCTTAGACTTGTGGTCAAGGACAAATCCAACCGCTGGACTGCATCTTTTGAGTTGTGGCATACAATGTATGTCTGTCCCAGAGGAAAGGACAACAGCTTCTGGTTAGTAATCAGAATTATTTATCATTTCCTCCAAGTGCATGTTTTGAATTGGTAATCTTAGAGCAGAAGAAAAAGGAAGTTGGCAAAGTGTGGTCCAAAGAGATGCTGTATTCTGTTCTGGGTCTAGACTGAGACCTTGCTATTTGGTTCTAGTTGGAAGGAATTGAAACAATCCCTAAAATGCTGGAAATGGAAAAGTTAATGCACTTGTGACTTTTTCTTTTACCTCCGTTTTTATGGGAAACTTCTTAAGCAAAAGTATTGGAAACAGCAGGAGCCAAAATATGTCTGTGAATAAGCAGTTCAATGAAATGAACTGATTTTGGATCTTTTCTCCCAAGCGTGCCATCTATGTACTTTCCCCCCCACACAAAGATCTTTCATTTGACTTGTCTAGTGTGTCTCAGGGCTACCAAGTTGTTTGACTAGTTTAAACCTGTCGTGTGTATAACCCCATTGGAACCCCGGCTTGAGTCCAAATCCCTTTACTAGCCATAGTTTGATGTAACCCAGTGTGCAGAGCTGGAGTCGGGAGGCAGGAGACCCACTGTGCTCTCCACTGCTTGAGGGCAAATGGATCAAGACTGTCTGCTTCCCCTGTTTTAAAAATCCTCAAACTGTGTCTTTGTTTTATCTGTCAAACTGTGTCATGTTTGGTGTATTAAAGAGTAGTCCCCAACTGGTTTAGCTGTGGGAACATGAGGCCCTTAGTCCAAATAAGGCTGTAGATGTGTCAGTCATTCCAATAGATTTGAATAGATCGATTTTAAGCCCCATTTAGCTCATAGTTCTTTAGGTGATCGAAGTCAGTAATCCCCATCTAAACACTATAGTTCTTTATTTTCAGTCATAATGCGAAAGTGTCCCAAATTATGACTTGCGGTTCTCTTAGTACACACTCAGGCAAAGCCAATTCAAACAGGTAAAGCAATGTAACTTGTACCACCCGGTGCTGTGTCCTCTGTTAAATTGTTTAAATCCACCAAAGCATGAAAAACTCATTTGTACCAGCATTCCCTTCTTAGGCAAATAATGTTTTATTCTATGAGAATGATCTGTTTATCTGCCATCTTTTTAAAAATAAGTTTAGTCAATACCAGCAGCAGCCAGACACTTTCTACTTGTCTGGGTTGTTTAGGCATGCATCCCAGAGGTGTCTTCAAGGACAGATGCAGACACAATTGTGCACTAGTGGTATTCAATCTGAAATAAATTTCAACTTAATGTCATTTAGAACTCTTGATTAAGTAGTTCATTATTAAGGCCGAAGTAAAATACTGACTACTTTAAGGAATTAGATGAAATTACAGCCCTTGACTAATACTGTACATTTCTGAGAATGATATTCACAAAAGCAGCCTTCCAGTGGCTTCAAAGACTGATCTTACTTGCATTAAATTTTCTGTGGCTCCTTTGAATAAAAAATTTGGACTTCTTATAATGGAAGTAATTGTGCATCACTGTAGAAAACACGTACCACTGGCCTTTCTAGGAGATCTCTATAGTATTTAATTTGATTACACCAAAAAACACATTCAAATAAATCCCAAATGATTTAATGATCACTATCACAAATATATAATAATAATAATAATACATTTTATTTATAATGCCCTTTTCATCAGAGGATCACAAAGTGCACAGGTTGAAACAAAAAGCAGTTTAAAAAAAAATAAATATAAGAAAACAGGAAAAGGAGAAAAGAATAAAAAAAATCAAAAAACATCTAAGAAGGGACCAAAACTTTGCTAATAAAGAAATGTCTTAAGATCCTGTAAAATTATGAACAAGAAAATCAGTTAACTTGGTTCTGTTTCCATTTATTGTTTTATCCAGTGTACCCCTGTATTGCTGCACAAATCCTGATTCACAACAACATACGTTACAAAGGCCTGACCCTAAAAACCTAGGCAGACAGATCATGTGGCTGTGTTTAGCCAAGCACAACTATTGTGACCCAAAGGGCAGAGCAAATGAAAAGCATTTCATGGTTACTGTGTCAATGTATAGTATGTGTGCGTGTAGGTGTGTGTGTGTGTGTGTGTGTGTGTGAGTTATAGACCTACAGACAGAAAGCGATATATAGGCTGAGTGTGTTTTTCTGTGTGTACTGTATTTGCGCATAGATAGACCCTCATCATCTCTCTGTGATTACAGGAGCATTTCACCACAAACAGCATGTGACTTATCAGAGTGAGCCAGGTTTTCAGAGGGCTGACAGTTTAGGGAAAACTGCCATGGGATAAGTCTCAATCCTCTCTCAACCATCACTCTCTCGTCCCCTTCTCACACTCTCTCTCTCTCTCATGCACACACATACACATCTGTGCAAACACAGATGCAGCACCCAAACTCCGCTGAGATCTGAAGCTTTTTCTATCTCTCCTACAACCCAAAAATGATAAAAGACGACCGTTAGTCCCGATGATGTGTCTTCAGAGACACAGAAAAATGTAAACAGTTAAGGTGTGAAATGACAGGTCACAGGGGAAGATTGTTAGTGTGATCTACACCAGTGGAAGAAAATAATAAAATAATGCTTCTCAAAATAGAGACAAAAGACAAAAAGGTAATTTAAAAGGTAAGACAACATTCTTAATAAGATTAAAGAAAAAGGCAAGAACAATATACTGTATAGTTACTAATGTAGTGCATATTATTTCTGTATGTTATTCTGATAATGAGCATGCATCTGTGTAAGTGTAAATGTGTGTACTAGTTACCGGAAGGTCATTTGGAATATCTGTCCCAAGTTGACTTGCTGGCTTTTGTTGTTGAATCCGTGCAGCATCTCACCAAACAGGGTGTCATTGAAGTGGACGTCCTGCCTTGGGCATTTTGGTCCTTCACAGTTGTCTGACTGCAGGAGGCAGGAGCGTCCGTCCCCTGCCAGTTTATACTCCTGCACACACCTGAGGAGAAGGGAAAAGCTGTCAATATAATGTATAATATGTCATGTACAGCATGTGAACCTGTAAAAGAGCATTAGAAGATGGATTGTGGCATACATGTTACCTACACTAATAACACTGTCTGAACCCGTACATAGATTTTCCCATTTTACTACTTTAATCTACAAATTACTAATGCGGGACACAGACACTACCAAGCAATATTTTTTTCTGTGGCTTTCCTGCAATTAAGACCACTTACCACCAACCTACTGTATGGACACCACCCAGCCAGCAACACTAGTAGAATACATCTGCGCTGTGCAAAAGTATTTATGCAAGCTTGGTACTTTTTCTGGCTCTTATTTTGATAACTTGGGCCAAAATGTCTTTCACATTAGTGAAGCAGTCCACTTGCCATTGTCATTGTAGAGATTGTGGACACAAGCACTCTGCTGGAAACAGATTCCAATGGAGAGAATTCAGCAGTCCTTTCAATCACACACAATTATCATATCTCCTCCATTTATCTGCACAATCCTCCCTTACAGACGAGGTTGAGTATCTGCTGCTGTTGGCTGGCGCTTTGGTTTGGGCTCATGCAGTTGATCAGGTCTCAACGCCTCAGTGGGAAGGAGGACTATGCTGTTGTTGGCAACACTGTTCTGAAAATGCAGCAGACCTGGAGGAGCAGTGTGGCACGAAGGCAAAGCCAGTCTCCTTTGTATAAACCAACCAGAACCAAAAATGCCAACTATTACACTATGCAGAATTCTGTATTAATGCCATTTAATAATTTCACAGTCCAGTTTTAACAAGCAGCTAGCCATTGCACCCCCACACTGGATTTATCAATCCTAGAAAGAATCAATCATGGCTTGACCCACGCCACTGTGCAACGGCGATTGTAAGAGTCATTTGTATGTCACAGCTGGTGTGCACATTGATGGGATGAAAATATTTTTGATTGACAAAAACAAATTCATCCTCCCGAGGTGCCCTTATTGAAAAGCGAGTCCAAGTCAATTGTACTGATGGCATTCCAGAAAGTGGACATTGCTGCAAATTGCATTTTGATGTTGGCCTGTTCAGCCATAGTGTAAGGGAGGCTAATGTTCTGGGAAAAAAATTCCACACTGTGGACCTGACACATCTCAAGGAGAATTAGGATATCCTTCACCTGTCAGCCTGCTCTGTTCCCACTTGCCAGAATCTGAAAAGTTGTCAGGAGCTGCGTATGGACAAGTATTCATAGTTTCTTTGTGTCAGTCATTCCAGCACTGGGACCACAATGGCATATGAATTAAGCAACTTTCAACGTGGTACAGCATCTGCTACCAGATCAGTATCTCCAAATTGGCCAACCACATTATAAACTTCAGTCTTGAAGAAGAAATCTCCTCTGTCATGACAGCTGCCTCAGTTGTTTTTATTTTACTGAGTTTGCCCCTTTGTCATGGTCTCCAACAGGCCCATGCATTTCTTGGGAACTATCCAGACTTGCCATTTTCCATCCATCCACCAGGTTCCCCTCAGACTTTCCCACCAGTCCCAGTCATCTGGCTCCTATATCCACCTGCCAACCTGTTCTCAACTAACCCCCACAGTATATATACCATCCCATCTCCCCCTGCTCCTCTTTCCAGCGTATGAAACATGGAGCTTGAACCAGAATCTGCCTGAACCTTTTCCTTGTCCAATTCCTGTTAACATGTGCATTCCCAGTTACTTCTGTTAGGACTTGCGACCCATGCCAGTAAGCTTATGTACTATAATTTTTTCATTCAAATCACCGAATTGTTCTTGCCTGGTTTTCTGCATTTGGATCTTTTTCCTTGCTGCCTTGTACACACCTGCTTGACACCCGCCGAGATGACAGATGTTAGAAGAAAGTAGAAAGTGTGTTGCAGTAGCACTAACAACAAGCTGACAGTTGGCAAGTACGGAGAAGTTATCTGGTCCAAAATTTCTTCTGTTAAATACCACTGTAAAACATGACACAACAACAGCCTGAAGCTACTGATCCATCTCAGTGTATAAGGGGTAAAAGTGTTGATATGGTGGTGTGGAACACGATTTCTTTTTACTGGGAAGTTAGAATACCACAGTGTTACAGCATTGATTTCCAGCTGCATGGCCACAATATAACTTTTTTCAAATGAAAACTCCTTGGAGATTACTATGCCATGTGACACAATCTAGTTCTAGGAAAGATGCTCAAAAAGCTTCCACATACAGCTCAGTGGAACATGTGTGGGATGAGTAAAAAGGCATTCATAGATTGCTGAATAATGTGCATGAAGCAAAGTCAGCGTGGTTCAAGGTTCAGGTTTAATCCTTGACATTTTTGATTATCTGCATTGCAAAATTTAATCTTCTCTGCAGACAAACGGGGTACCCAGCAGATACACTGTAAGTGTGGATACTACTTGTATTTGTAATGTTTAAACTATGTAAAATGATTTATACAAGCTTGGAATTAGAGTTGGCCAGAAAATACTTCAGAACAGAAAAAAGTGTTCAGTATCTGAATAGGATAAAGATATGATATAGATGTGATTTGGTGATTATGAATAGCAATAGTTACTTCCTATTTACATATCTTATTTCCTTCATGTGAGTATTTGCCTGAGGATGTCTTGATTGAAATATCACTCATGAAGCTTATTCCATGAGAAAGCTGTATTTTCCAGCCTGCAGGCACCTTTAATTTTTCACTGTTAGTTATTCTCACCCGCAAAACATGAGCACGTTGCTGGAACTGGGGTCATCTTCAAGGGGCACAAGCTGCTGGAGACACAGCTGTTCACAGCCTCCATTGAAGCCATCCGTGCAGTCAATGCCCCTGGAGTAGTCATAGCAACCTGAGCCATCCTTCATTGGCCTCAGCCCCTCAGGACACTGCAAGAAAAGAGAGACAGAGAAAGAAGGAGAGGTGGTGGGAGGGAGATGTGGAGAGAGGGTGAGGAGGAAGGCATAAATTAGGGAGAGGGAAGAAGAGAGTAAGGCGCAGAGGTCAGCGTGTGCATTTTAATTAGGATCAGGAAGCTCTGAGGAGGCAAAGATAGTAATATGGGAAAGATGAGAGAGGAGAAGTGGGCAGTGGGATTTTGACTAAGGAGAGAGAGACTCAAAGAAGGAAGAATGAAAGATGGCAATTATCTCATTTGATAGGACACAGAGGACCTGGAGGTCTTTATGCAATAAAAAGGGAGCAGAAATATCAATTACATACTTACAACCTTGAAATGACATTGAGGGCATGAAGACTTATCAGTGTTTGTGAAGTCAGAGGTGAAGGTTGGGTTAATTAAAAATAATGTGCTGTCTGCCACCCAGCAGTAAGTTACTGATATCACAAGATTGTATCACAGGGAAACATTGTGATGTCTTAGAGTTTTAGTTGTATGTCGTTCAATTTTAGTTCAACTTTCAGTTTAGCTTTGCAACCTCCACACAAAAAATATCACTTTCACCTGAAAACACACACACACCACAAAGTCTGGACAGAAATCTGAAATGGAACACTCCAATAACTTCTGATTGGCTAATTTACAGTACAGCATTTCATTTAGGAAGTGTTTTTTTAATGAATTATATTTCCTCCAGCCTAAGAAAGGCTAATTAAACATGAATGCAACAACAGCAGATGCATTTTATAACAAAGCTGGACTCCATTAAAAATTACATTTTACTTACCATTAATAACTTGTAGACTTAATAGACTACTGTTCATGATTTGGGTTGCATTATCCATCTTGGATGTAAACAAAAGATTGTTACACAAACAAAACTAAGAGGTTGATGAACTTTTCTGCTGGCTCAGCTTATGTGTTACAGGCTAGCACAGTGCTGATGGAAGACATCATTGATGAGTATTGTCAAGTTCCATTAGTTAATCATTTTATATAATAAAAGATGTCTTTAATATTCTTGTAAGCAATTATATAATTAAATATTAACAAAATTAACAAACAACAATCTAAATGTCCCTTCAGTAGCCTAAGCTATTATCTTTCTTTTTCACTTATTATTATGTCTACCTCTTAACTTTATCTAACTATTTTTTCTTTAAGTAATGCTCCTCGATAAAGTTGACAGTGAATAATACTGTAAATAAATAAAAGTGTTTGTGGTAGATAGCACACTCAACCCATAAAAATATGATCAAGGATCTTTTATTGACACTGACAAGAGCAATGCATTTGACTCAGCATTTCATCAGGCTTGTGACTAAGTTTATGGTATTTTTTTTGTCATTTTGTCTTCAGTGTAACCTTACAGGTACAGTTTTAAATACAAATAATATAATATCTAAATATATAATGGGAGATACCATTTCGACCAGGAGAGGGGCAAAACCTTTAGCAGCGTTATTACCAATTTTTGTCAGTTCATTACCATCAAACTACTGCGTGTCAAAAAATTATAGCAGAAGATGTATTCAAGTGTTGATGTTGTTTTAGAAATAAGAAAACTGAAAGAAAACTGTGTAAAGAAAGGCAATATGCCACATACAGAAGCTTGTGCTTTTTAAGTGAATTTTTTAGTTTCACAGATTGGAAATGTGTCACGCTGTGACTGTCATGTTATATATTGTATCCTACTGAGTGGGGCATTAGATGCTGGAAAACAGCACTTATTTAGTATTCACTTGAATGGCAGAGATGGATGCACATACAGTAATTGATACTAGTTTATGACTAGTTTATAGTCATTATGGAAAATGCTAATCTTTGAATATTTGATGGCTTTGGCCTGCTGGGGATGGAATCCAACAATTAACACTCTCAGGCATCAGCCACAGACTAAAAATGTGTCGCTTTTAACAACCAACACATCAATTTTGTCGGAGCTGCAAGTGCAGCTGCAATTTTTGCGAGTACTGATGTAACCGTTTTGTTAGTTTTAAAATGAAGACTGTAAGATTTCACAGTTTGTGGAGCACTGTTCACCACTTTTCACTGGTGACTCATCAGTGATTCCTTATGTTCTGTGTGCTTGTGTGGGACTGATGGTGGGTGTGTGAGGCATGATGACATATAGTACAAAGTTGTCTGTAGGCGTTGGTGTATTTATGCTACATAGAAAAATAAAGTAGGCCTACTGTTGCTCAGAGTTAAGACTGTTAAACCAATGTGTTACCACCTTAATTATCTTTGTGGGGAACAATATGGAGGCGGTGTAAGAGTTGAAAGAGCTTTATAAGTGTTTCCCCTGCTGTCAGTGGTCAAATCTCTTCAGATATACCAGTTATATGTAAGCCTTTTGTTTGAAAACCTGACCGACTGACAAACACCATACCCAATTGCACTAGACTGAGTAAGAACATTAATTCTTCAGCATTTCCTTTCTCCCACATCTCCCACAGTCATTTATCACCATGGACCATACGGTTTATGGAATACACACTCTAAAGCAAATACTTATTCTGCTGCTGGCTTTATATTTACAAAAGTGTGAATATCTGCAGTTTATCTCATTACATTCCTCAACATTTTACTGTATGACTTAAGGTCAGTGATTAATAGTTTTATTAGTACAACACATGTCATTGACACAACCGAAAGGCTGATGAAAAACAAAATGTTTTCTTCTTTTACTGACTGTGCCAGAAGGTAAAAACATGTAACAATTTTGAGTGAAAATTGTTTTTCATGCCCTTCAGCACTGTTTTGAATGTACAGATTAAACAGTGCTAAAACTCTCTTCGAACAATAGAATCCAACTAAGTGATCTTGAATGTCAATACATCTTGGTCTGCAAGGTCCCTGAGATCAGCAGTAAACAAATTAAGATTTTCCTTTGTAATAAACGTTGGGTCACAAAAGCAATTAAAGGCCTCATTTGGTGGGTTTTAATAAAGGCTATGCAATGGAGGACAGGAAAATTAGGAGGGAAATCAACTCAGGAATAAAACGAATAAAACGATCAAACACATACAAAGAGAGAATTTAGCCATAGCTCAAACAATGTGAGAGATGTTTAGAAAAGCATTAAAAAGTATTACTGAGGCCAGGAAAAGAAACATAGGGACTTTAGCCTTAATTTCTTTAGTTGGAATAAACATTTATCTGTTTCATTCAACACTTTTAAAGCTACAGGAGTTGTCATTAATTTGTAATGTTTTAAATACTGTGAAAAGGCTTTTCTGCCAGATAAACTGTAGGAAGAGCTCTGTTGCTGGGTACTTGGGAACTTGTATAGAGCATGCTTTCTTGTGCTTTTTCCATTTTTTTTGTTAACATCTCATGAGCAATAAAATCTCAGACTGGAAAGCACACCACTACTAAATGTGAAACCTCCAAAGTCTTGCGTGCACTGGGAGCGGCAGCCGCTCTCCAGTTAGCAAGGCTTTTTGCAAAACTCATCAAGCACAAGTTTTAATGCAGCCAAGAAACAAACTGGAGAGAGAAGAGGGAGATAAGCTGAGGATGCCACCATCAAATTATGTGTTTCGACATTTAGAAGGCCCTTACATCATGCCAGGCTTAAATTTATAGACTTATCTGCATTTAATTTTCACCTCCAAGAAGCTTTCATCTCTAATTTATACACTAACAATTACAAAAGCAATCATGGAAATAGATATATGCTGTTTGATGTCTTGAGTTTGACGTTCAACAGAATGATTTACAATCCACTAATAGGAATCAAAAGTTATTTTCTTCAAATTATAAGATTAATTACTGATAATTAGCCCTCTCATAATTGCAAATCATCATGTTTAAGATCACTATCTTGTGAAACTCATGAATGACTGCAGTTTTCACACAAAAGGTACAATTGAATCCTGAAATAAGGTCAGATCAACTCTCTCTGTGCTGTAGACATGTTCTAATTTTACAAATCAAATTCAGCAATGGCACTTTTGATCGCTGTCAAACACTAAAAAAAGGTAAGGTGTGCTATAAACGTTATGCATTGTTCACACGTGTCTTCTGGACAAAGTCCCATATGTTCAACATTCAATAGAAAAGCTGTCCGGTAACAAATCCATTTACTATATCTCATGAATGTAATGCTTGCTTCCTCACCAGAACAAGATTGGAGCCATTTATCACACTGAGGCAGAGCTGTGGGAATAGGTGTCTGTAATTCAGAATTGTCATGCAGGACTCCATTAGCCATTAGCACTGCCCACAAGCTACTTGCTTTATCTGCTTGGACAACTCTCCAAAGACACAAGGGCTGGAGGAGGAGGTTTATATATAAGCAAAAAATGCTTTCAGTCATGAATGCTTCTGTAGTGATTCTGCAATGGGAGCACAATGAGAATAGGCCATGATGCAGCCTTATAGCCTAACACTTGTTCAAGAAACACAGCAACTTTATTGACTGAGATGTTGTTATATAATTACTAGCTTGGCAGCTGATATATATTTATATATATATTTATATAATTCTGGCAATTACTTATTATTGAATATATTAAATATTTAAGAGAAGCGACAAAAAGGGAGCATTACCCACAAGTGATGTGTGTTTGTGTTCAATAAAGTATAATTAATATCTTCAGCTCTTATGACAACACTAAACACTAAAAACACTAAAAAGATTAAATTTGATGGATTGGATGTTTACATATTATCTTTTCTCTCTTTTACACCTGTATATCTGTTTTATCCCTAAGTGAAGGCATATGACAGCAGCATAAAAAACTATGTAGAGTTGACTATGTATGTCTTCTCTGGGGGCGATTACAAATGAGAATTTTATGATGCCATTAAAGAACCAGAGTGATGGCATTCCACTCCTTTATATACTTGGGGGATTAAAAATACAAGATAAGCAGGTTTCAAGAAATCAAAGACAAATGACAAAAACGTAAGTATGCATGATAACTGCACATACATCTCCCTACACATTATATAATTCACATAGATCACCCCTACAAATTA